TGTTGTGAAAAGAATCTTATTTAGTTGTACAAAGTACTTCAGCCAAAATTTGGGAGCCACGTAAGAGAATTATATATATTAGATCAGAAACACATCATTAAAAGGCAGAATGCTTTGGTGTTTTCAAAACAAAGCAAACGTTGCCACCGGCGGAAAAGAAATACAGCCAAAATTTGGGAGCCACGTAAGAGAATTATATATAATAGATTTTATAGCTGCCGAACAATTATTTTAAATCAGTACTTAAATTCTATGAATAGTATTTATGTTCTTGTAATTTAAAAAGGCGTTTTGAAAGCCATTAAATACAAGTATCAGAATTTAAGAGTATGTTTTTAAGTGATAATTTAGTGAGTTTGAATAAATTAATTTTAAAGTTTTTACTCTAACAGCAGGACACGGGGATTATGCATTATCTTTAAGCAAAATTCCTGCTGCCGACATTATATTTCTAACACTTATGGTAATCCCTTAACTAGCGTATTCTTGGTTATACATTTATATTGGGTCTACTATTACAAAACTATTATAATTATAATTACTATTAACTTTAACTGAAGGCTATTATATAATTATACCAAATGGTCCAGAAGGTTATACATATCATCAATAATTGTATCCCCTTGTTCTTATCTATACCAAGCTTGATGCAATATCAAATATATCAATTTTTTTTAAAAAATGCTATAATTTAAAATGAAATAGTAGATTCAAGCCATCTATTCTGAATATACTATAAAACTATTATTAGTATAACTGTTGCTAACTTTTACTAACAGCTACTATAATTATATTAACTGGTCAGGAAAGTTATCGATATAATCAATAATTTTAACAGCTATACCAAGCTTGATACAATGTCAAATATTTCAAATTGTTTTTTTTAAAAAAAAGCTATCATTTAAAATGAAATAGTAGATTCAAACCATCTATACTGAATCTAATATATAAAACTATTATAATTATAACTACTGCTAACTTTAACTAACTGCTATTATAATTATATTGTCTGGTCTGGAAAGTTATCCATATAATCAATAATTTTGTCCCCTTCTACTTATACTGCTCAACCAAGCTTGATACAAAATCAAATATTTCAAACTTTTTTTTTAAAAAAAATATCATTTAAAATGAAATAGTAGATTTAAACCATCCATATTGACTCTACGATTATAAAACTATATAATAATTATAACTACTTCTAACTTTAAGTAATTGCTATTATAATTATATTAACTGGTCCGGAAAGTTATCCATGAAATCAATAATTTTATCCCCTTGTTCTTAGCTTTACCAAGCTTGATGCAATATCAAATATATCAGTTTTTTAAAAAAAATGCTATAATTTAAAATGAAATAGTAGATTTAGACATCTATATTGAATATACGATTATAAAACTATAATAATTATAACTTTAACTATCTGCTACTATAATTATATTAACTGGTCCGGAAAGTTATCCATATCTATACATAATAATAAACGCGGCTGTGTGTGTGTGTCTGTAATCAAAATATATCGCCCCAGAAGCCTCGCCCAGGCACGAAACTCAGCACATAATTGTGTTTTGACATAATGAAGAATTATTTTTTTTCTTTTTCAAAAATTTGGATTAATTTTTTAGTTATCAGTCATTTTGTAAGAAAATCTATGCTTTTTCGTCTTCAAAGAGCCATATTCAAAAAACTATTAAAAAATGCATATCTCTTATAAATGTATGCTAATGTGAACCTTACAATTGAAATATTAAATTTCGACAACTTGAACCAATAATATACGAAAGAATTAATAATTTAATTGTAAGGTTCGTATTAGTTTACATTTATCAAACTGGAGAAAAGTTTAACTTTTGTATTAAAAATGTGGCAACATATTCGATACGTAAATAGAACGCTTAGCTTTGATATATTTGACGCTGTTCATCTGGATATGAAGACAAAATTACAGAACAGGAACACTTTAATTGTCAACTAATCTTCAGATTTCCTGCTATATATAAAAAAAACTTTATTTGTGAAAACCTTTAGCGTGGCGGACAGCTGGCCGCCTTCAGCGGCTAGTAATGAATAATTTTAACAGCTATACCAAGCTTGATACAATGTCAAATATTTCAAATTGTTTTTTTTTTAAAAAAAGCTATCATTTAAAATGAAATAGTAGATTCAAACCATCTATACTGCATCTAATATATAAAACTATTATAATTATAGCTATTGCTAACTTTAACTAACTGCTATTATAATTATATTGTCTGGTCTGGAAAGTTATCCATATAATCAATAATTTTGTCCCCTTCTACTTATACTGCTCAACCAAGCTTGATACAAAATCAAATATTTCAAACTTTTTTTTTAAAAAAAATATCATTTAAAATGAAATAGTAGATTTAAACCATCCATATTGACTCTACGATTATAAAACTATATAATAATTATAACTACTTCTAACTTTAAGTAATTGCTATTATAATTATATTAACTGGTCCGGAAAGTTCTCCATATAATCAATCATTTTACCTCCTTGGCAGCTATACCAAATTTGAATCAATATTAAACATTTCAAAATTAAAAAAAAAGCATTTAAAATGAAATGAACGATTTAACCCATTAACATTGACCAAGACAATGTGACCTAGACATCATCAAAGCATGTCGACACGTTAGACATTGGTCAAGGCAGCAATAATTGCTTCTAAATAATTCACCCAGTATTGTTGACAGCTCTTTCCCTCACAATTCACATTCGAGTCTCTTTAATGGCTTCGACCAAACCAGTTTGCAATTTACTCTTATAACTAATTTATACTAATGGTATCAGGATTTCAGCGAAGTGGGTGTCACATTTAATAACGTAATAGGACTTTCTCTGCTTTATGTACTCTCTCGAATGGGGGAAGCTTCAACTAAACCCTCACCGAGTGAAACAATTATGCAATACGTTCCGAACCGGGAAAGAGATTAATTCCATTACAAAGCTCGAACCACTGGGCAATATTTTGTTTAAGTATAACGTAATGATATTTTGAACAAGTGATTGATAGCAATCTTGTTTATGTAATGAATTAATTGCTATTAGTGGAAATCATATAATTAGGAAAGAGTTTTGAGACAGTGGTTGACTTATAGAAAGAAATTTATTTGGCTTATTACCTAAAATTAATTTGATCTTTAAGATCCTTTTTTTTTGGGGTAAGAAGTTGGGTGGTATTTTCAAGATTTTACCTACTTTAAAGAGTTTGAAATAAACTTGAATATCTGCGTTTATAAATAACCAAATTTATTAACTCTGTGTTTATAACTATAAATTAATTTGATGACAAATGATCAAATGAACTCAAAACTCCTAAAAGGAAACAGCTTTCCAGTGTTAGACTCTCTTCTTAACCCCACGCAAACCTTTACTGTTACTCACATTAACGCAAACAAAACCCCTTTTCATTAGTAATTTTCTTCTTGTTTTTTCTATAATTATCAAAATATGGCCCCACAAGCAAAATCGCTTCCCACCGGCATTTAAAATTTAATGAAATTAATGGTAAGTACACTCTCAGAAATAAAACTCTCACTTTTGACGATTCAGCTACCCTTGAGCTGTATTTCGTTAATTTTGAGAGTTATTTTGTCACAAAATCGCGTGATTTGTAATGAAACGCGAACTCTCATATAAATAGCGAAAATGTCTCTTTAACTCGAAACCTCATCGAAGAATGACGAAACCAAAATGAAATCTGAACGATTGAAAATAAAGTGACGAAGTTGGTCGACCGGCAATATGGGGGTCAAAGCGTTGGCCTCGTACCCAGATTCTGGGTTCGCATCCCGCTTCGGGCGTAAGTGTAATTTATCTCTGCTCTATTTATCCTTCTTGAAGTGATGAAGTGACATTGTTCCACTTATATGGTGCCCTTGATAAAACAATTTCTAGAAAAGTTAGTACATTACGAGTTTATTTTATTTCTCATTTTATTTATGAATTTATTTATTTAAAAAAAATATAATAAAGAAATTTTTTTTTCATTTTGACAAATTTTGTTTCCTTAAAGATGAGGAAATAGTTATTTAGTAACTTTGACGAAATTTTCGCTTAGAATATATACAAGGAAACAGTTTCACCAAAAATTTGTGATATTTAAGTATCCATTTTTACAGGGTTTACGATTACTACGGCCTTATAAAGGGTTAAATGACAAAGTTATCATTAATTAAAATATTTAAGTTATTTTATATTCACTTAGCTTTTTTGAAAAAAAAATTTGAATCCGATTTTGTCTAAACCTATTTCCTAAATTTATAAAAACAAACAATTGAATTAATAAATATAAATATAATAAAGCTTAAAATTCCTATTTTTTCTACCAAAACTGAGGATCATAGCATTGAACCAATTTTAGTTATGCTTAATAACAAAAGTAATACAAGTTTACAAGTTTAAATAAATACTACTTACACTTTTTTAGAGGATCAGAATTACCATAATGGTTGATGGAGATGTTCTAAATCCTAAAAAATAAATTATTCCAATTTGAAAAAGCAATAATATTTACTCATGACAAGGTTATTACATTAAACTTAGGCCATTGTCTAACAAACGATTATAAATTATTCAATTTATTTTTTAGTATGCCGATTAAAACCCATAGGCGATTTTCAGGAAAGTTCCTAAAAGTTCTTTTTAACTTGACATGAATTAATTTTTTTTGACATTAATTCGACACATATTATTTAATGTTATTTTTTTAAATTTCCAGCAGTGGCAAGTCTGGTTGACAATCTAGCACTTTTCTAAATTTAACTTCTGACATGAAGTTTTTTAAATGCCCAGAGGAAAAATGCTCGAAATTTGTTTATTCAATAAAGTTAAAAACTCTTCACAAATATTATTATAGCATTTATATTAGTTTTACAAATATTATTACAGTATTATTATTATTATTTACAAATATTATTATTTTCTTTTTTTACAAACAAATTACGACCATTTGCTTACTATATGGTTCATGATACATAACTTTTTTAATGGGTAACAAAAATAAATTTGAGCTATACGAAATTTATATACAAAAATCTTTTCATAAAGCTTACATACGAAAATTATAAAACAGAAAATTTTAAAATACATTTTTCAAATAAATTAAAAGACAAGAATATAAATTTTGCCAGATTAAACTATGAAAACGTAGGGCACATCTGTTTTGAAAGACGTGGAGGAAAATTATTGTTGGTCACAGAAATTTATTGGGAAAATGGTGTATCTGATTTACGTCTGATAATAATAACCATTATTTTATAATACACTTATAAATAGTTCTTAATATTTTTATTTTCTTTATTTCTTAGCATTGTGTTTGTTAGTTTGCTTTATGTTTTATATTTGTCGCAGTTACAATTATTGATTACGATTATTGATCCCAATTACAATTATTAGTCAAGAATACTTATGCTTCTATGAGTGATTACTCGAAAAAGAAGTCATTGACACATTTCCCCTGTAATCGGTAAGTATGATATGAGAAATTGGAAGTCAATTTAGTAGGAAGTCAATTGGAAGTCCCAGTAGTGGATAGATGCTCCAAACGTACGTAGAGTACTTTCTTTGAGTACTCATCTTTGTGTACTCAAATTTTAGACTCAGATCAAAGTCCCAGCTCTTGGGTCTCAATATTAAGAAAAACAAAATTTTAATAGCAAGAAATATTCCGTCTGGGTTAAAATATGCTGGTTAATTTTGTCCGAACTATTTGGGGAAGACCTCCCATACAAATGTGGACATTCTATCAAATCCGAAAGAGTTTCAATTTTTAAAAGACGATAAATGTTGAAAAAGGGTGATATAAACTAACATCTTAGTGGTCTGAAAATGATGAAAAGTTGCATTGCCTTCCAACACACGGCTCCAGTTTAAATTTAGGTACTCCAGCTAGTTGAAAATCGGTCAAAATTCTGATTGTTGATAAATTGAATTCTTCGATAATATTAAATTCTGCTCATAGACGTGAGATAAAGATTTAAAACTTTTATTATTATCCATCACAAATCTTAAGTTAAAATTATGTCTTCCAAAAAGTATCCAAAATTCTGATTGACGATACATTTTATTACCAATGTACCGGTGGGGAAACGTGGGAAAGTTATCTGGCATAGAGCTCCAATTGAGATTCGGGGACTCTAGCTAGTCGGAAAGTGATAGGACGTTATACCGAACTTGTTATACCGAAAAATATAACAATAAACTTTGATTGTATCAGTCAGAAAATGGTTTGAAACTATCACTGTCATTTGATACCAGTAGGGATTTAGTAAGGGCCCTAGCTATTCGGAAATTAGAAACATTGTTTGCAAAATTTCAACCACAAAGACGCGAAAGAGAGTAAGGCCTCATTATTAAAAATATCAGAAATCGGAGAGTTTGAAACTTTATGGCATAATTAAAATTATAATACGTAAACGTTTGTTATCAAAACTAACGGCTTCAATTAATTCAAAAATTTCATTAAAAATTCTTCTCTGTGGTCTAATTGAAACTCACACTAGAATAGAGCAATTCCCCAGGCATTTTCCTTTTTAGGAACAATGGAATAGGAAATTTCTTTTAAAAATGCCAAATTGGTGTTTTTATCTTTTCGTTGAAATCCTCTAAACATAATCTAATGTTGTTTTAGTAAAAAATTATAAGGACAGAAATAAAAACGTTTGCATTAAGTGATTAAATATTTTCTTATTTTTTTGTACAGTTCTTTTCACAAATGGAAAAATAGAAAGATTAAAAAGGTAAACACGCAGACAACAAGCCACAGAAACAGTTCTTGGAAAGAACAAAAAAAGAACATTTTTTCCGTCGAAAACACATGCTATTTGCAGAGAGTTAATCATATATCTCAGCTTGTGATGATATTTTTTTGCCATTTTCTTTTTAAATTAGAAAAGAAAGAAAAACAACTGTTGGAAATAAAAATGAGAGAAGAATAATTTTTCTAAAACCGCTCGCAATTACACAAAAGAATAAAAAAAGTGTGGCTAAAAGAGAATTAGAAAATAATTTTTTTATGAATCGATTTTACTGATAAACCGAAACGTTAAAAGATTACTCGGAATTCATATTTTAATGATTTGCTTGAATGAATAAATTCGTATGAAATGTTTAGCGAATTAGTATTTAATATTACTTCTTTTATGTATTCTGTTGGGAAAAGTATATGATATTAAGCTACGAGTTGAAACAAATATTTATACATTTTGCGTTAAAATGTAATTTTAGACGATACAAATTACTACAAATTTTGAAATAAAAACGAAATTTCCAAAGATTTGGAAGTTTTAAAATTAATATAATTCGAAACTCTTTATATGCAAACATTGAATTTTGATTTCTGGTTTGGCATTCATATATTTTCACTGTTCACTATTTCCAAGAATTTTGTTATATTTTCCAGCATTTTAAAGTTTTGTAAATTTAAATTGAAATTAATTTCCTTTCAAATTAAGGAGAAAAAAATCTTTTTTTATGAAAATTAAGGTTAAATTGAGTTTTTGATTTCCTCGAAATATACTTTGAAATCTTGATTTTTGTTTTGTTTTGTACCTGTACTTTTTTACTCGTTATTTTTTGAAATCAAAACTTTTTAATTTTTGCTTGTTAATTTTGCTTAAAGTACTTGTACTTTTACTCGTTACTTTCTGAAAGTAACGTTCCATGTGTGCTATCCTCTATATTTTGAGGATCTGAAATCCGAATGAGTAGATCCTTAACATTCGGATGAGTGGATCCTTAAAATATCGTCTGCACTAATTATTTAACATATTTGAAGTCACCCTCTTGAACCATTAAGATTGAGTTTTAAAACCTAAAAATTCGATCTTTCAAAAACTATTCAGGGTGGTTGGCTTTTTATTTTGCGCTCTGTGCTTAGAGAGATGCCGAAAATGTCACTTTAAGCCGATAATACTCTTCTCTTTGATAAAGTGCCTCATCATGTGCTTTTGAAGTGGAACTTTAATTTCAAAACTTTATTTTATGTTTGCTATTAACTATTGTCGTAACCTGCATTCAAATAAGCCCAGGAACAGCTGAATAATTATGATTTAATGATTTGGTTGCAAATATGACCACTAAGTAGCCATTTAAATTAAATATTCTAAATTAGTTGGAGTATGATAAAATGAGCCCAAGTATGTAACTTGAACCTATATAATATCATGAGCCTGCACTTAAATAGGGATGCTTTGATTATTACTACTGATAATGTGTTATTGATTATGTGATAGTTTAACTAGTGGTATGTATCATTTTTACGATGATGATTCTTTTAATTTTATTAAAAAATAAGCTTTCTGCTTTCAACCCTTTGATGCAGAAATAGTATACAACATATTTTTCATATTTGTTTCTTTATTTTGTATTAATTTAGGTAAAAATAAATAAAAAATGCTTTTTTTTAAGTTTTAATAATATATGGTGATGAAATGCAGCATGAAACACGAGTATCTTTTTTTTTGCGCTAAAGGTAAAATCTTTAAAACACAGCACACTTCCAAATAATATATATTTTTTAAATTTGCACTTATTTGCTGTTTTAAGAGAAACAGTCATCAAACTTATTTGCTGTTTTAAGAGTAATGCATCACTGAAGTTTCTTAAATTTACAAAAACTATTGTCGATAAACTTTTAAATATGAATGAAAAAATTTAAAGATATTTTTTTCTAGATTTTATGTTTTAATACAAATATAATTCCGATTATCAAACATATTTTTTATTAGTAACTATTAGACTGCTTTTTTATAATTAAAAATACCAAAATACATCCTTATTGCAATTAGAGTGCCAGAAAAAAATATATAAAAGGGACACCGGTGTCCCTTTTATAATTTGTCACCGGTGTCCTACCTGCGTCAAAGGATAAATTACAGTGTCAGAAAGCTTAGTGGGATTCTTTGCTTCGAATAAATAGGGATACACTAGGTTTTTTTCTATACATTATTTTAGTGTAGAAATTCTGTAATTCCTTTTATTTATTTTTTTAAACCCAAATATGACGATCGATTAGTAAAACTAATAGTTCGAGGTAAATAAATTCATAAGTTTTCAATAAATCCCGAGTTTTCTAGCAGAATTACAAATTTACGCTCCTCTTTGAATTTCAGTACACACTGTAGCTAAAATAACTCTTGATATATAATTGACTTTTGAGGATCATAAATAGATTAATCTTATTACTAACGTCATCTAAAATTGCACTTCTTAAAATATAAAGAAAACTTCATAATTCTAACACAAGATTATGATTATAGTTTATTTTCCCTAAAAAAGTAGTCCAGTTTTTAAATTGGACGAAGCAAAGGGATCAGAAGTCCAACAGGTGGTCCATTTGTTAGAAGAGGACTTGGACATTTGCCAAAAGTCGATCTCCCATCCCAAGTGATGTTCCACTTGTTGCACATCTAAACATCATCCCTTAATGGGAATCAAATGAGGGTGTGTTTCAGGAGGAGAGGGAAGGAGT